CTTAGATCTGAGCCCACTGAGGCCCCAGCATGTGTCAGCAAGGCAAAAGCCAGCCAAGAACAGGCCTTTAGGGACAACAGCAGCTGAACAATAATCCACCTTGTCATCAATTGACCAAATTATAAACGCACAGGATGCCAGCTGTGGGAAAGGCTGTGACCTCCTCCATACCACATGTGAGGAAAACAACGTGGAGAGCATCAAAGGCACAGGTCTGTCTCTGGTCGGTGCGCTGGGAAAGAAACCGGGAACAGGGCAGGGAAAGCCAGCTGCCGCCTCCACCAGAGGTTCAGGGCACACGAGCTGCCGGCAGAGGGGCTGTAGCTGTGCCCACTCTGTGCCCGACAGCAAGCTGGCGCTGCACGGTGTTTACCCTCATCAAGTCAGCTGGTCTGCAGGGCAGCTGACCTTTGTTTGGTGGGATGACTAGATGCAAACCGGGAAGGGGACAGGGGGCACAGGGTGGCTGCCAGCCCAGTTCTGCCAAGAATTCCCTGTTATCTTGGGTGAGCCATTTCCTGCTCTCCGCCTCAGATCCCCATTGTTAGCCTGGGGAGAGCCAGCGCTCTCTACCTTCTTTTTGAACTCCTTGGAGATGAAGGACACATGAAAAAAGGACTTCATATAAATGCAAGGAGTTTACATCAGCTTCTTGATGAAACAAGGGAAGCAAAGCCTGCCCGGTTTGCAAGGATTCCTTCTGCCTCACCCTACCAGTCTGCTCTCCCCTCCCAGGCCTCCGCGCTAAGGGGCAAATGGAGACAAAGCAGAGACCCAGGAGCAGCGGTCCCTCAGGCCCCCAGGCATTTCCACACCTCCTCCTCAGGATTTCCGTATCCCCGGGGTCAGCAGGGGTGTGCTGAGGCTCAGGGTGAGCCCCACATTGCAAGGGCTTCAAGTGGTCCCCTGGGCTCCAACCCAAGGCCTTGCCGGATTCCTTGGAGCGTTCCCACCCACCCTGCTGAGCTGCTGCAGCGCTTTGATCGCTACTACACGAAGGGTTTCCTGAATGCTTTCCTGAGGACATTGTTCCCCACTACAGAGTCATCAGGGTCAAATGCATCATGGGCTATGCTGGTCCAGGTCCTACCCAGTGGGGAAAGCCAGCCCTCTGCCCAAGCCCTGCTTCCCCTGGGAAAAGTAAGGCAGCCATTTCTTTGGGTTTAGCTCTTTACCAGCCTCAGGGAAAGCAAAGCTGTAGCAAAATACTGCTGCCCCGAGCTCGAGGCTGCTGGCCCCTCAAAGTCACACCTGGTAGTCCCGTCTTCCAAAGGGGCTTGCTTCTGCACCCAGCCCCAGGGCCTGCTCCATCCCAGAATCACTCTCAGGGGCCTCTTCCTTCATTCAACATTTATTGGAAACAACTCTGCAACCCTCTGCAAGGAGCAGAGATGAGCGAGACCTGGTCCCCACCCTCAGGGAACTCAGGGTCTAGCGGGGAACAGATACAGGCCCGTGACAGAGCCTTGTAGTAAATGCTGCAGTAGAATGGACACAGGGCAGCAGAGGCAGAGAGGAAATGACAAGCTCTGCCTAGGGGAGGGCGTCTGGACCACAGACACTAAACCTTGTAGTGTGCCAGGAGCTCACCAGGTAGCCAAGGAGGCATGAGGCACAGTGCACATGGAGGGGTCAGGATTTGAACAAGCAGGCTGCACTCAGGAAATGGCAAATGCTAGGTATGCCAAGTTCTGTCCTGGGGGTGATGGATGAGGTTGGGAGGCAGTGAAGGATCTTGCGTGGCTCGCAAGGGGCTTTGATGAGGAGCCACAGGGGTCTTTAAGGAGTGACCTTAATAAAGATGTGTTTGAGAAAGAACACGCTGGCAGAAATGGGGAGAATTTTCAGATCAAAATTTTAGGCACAGGATAATGAGGGCCTGAAGCAAGGATGTGCGAGGAAGAAGACAATTCCAGAGAAGTGGGTTGCCACAGGTTGGTGGCAGAACCCAGGAGGGGGGGTGGAAGGGAAGACAGTCAGGAACCACTTGAGCAACAGGACAGAGGAGTCAGACTCTAGGCCACACCGTGCTGGGATGTTTACAAGCATCCTTGCAGCCTTCATCACTCTGTAAGGCAGGTAGAATTATCCCTACTTTATGATGATGCTTAGAGAAGTGAAGTGACTTTTCTAGCCACACTAGATCAGAGTGAAGCTTCAAACCCATACCAATTCTTTTAATCATCAGGCTATTTGGGAAATCTAGACAGTGATGTGCAGTAAGCTGTTTCAGAGAATGATCTAGAGTTTAGGAGGAAACTCACAACTAGAGATAGACATTTGGGAGTCATCAAGTTACATACAGGTAGTAGCTGAAGCCACAGAGGCGGCTGAAACGGTCCCGCAAGAAAAAGCCAAGGATGAAGCTGGAAGAAGGCTCACATTTAGAAGAGTGGGGAGAGCTGAGACAGGACACTGCAAAGGTGCCGAGTCAAGAGAGAATCCCAATCAGAGGGCTGAATCCTGCAAGTAGCCACCGTCTGACTAGGACCAAAAGGAGGATGAGAGATTTGAAACTACAGAGGCTTTTAGCCAAAATGGCTTCGCTGCTGTCGAGGTGGAGGAGGAGAGCAAGCAGCAAAGGGCAAGGAGGAGCCCAGGGATGGGGTGCGGCACTTGAGGAACTTGGGTTTAAAAAAAAAATCTTGAAGATTGGATCCAGAAGCTATAAATGGAGAGCGCCAGGCAACAGGGTTATGCAAATATTTCCAGCTGCACTTGGCAGCTCAGGCCTCGGGGCAAACAGAAATGGACAGTGGAGCCCAGGCTGGAAGTGAGGGAACGGGGCAGTGGAGGGGGCATAAGGGCATAAGGTCTTTGGAACCTTCCAGAGAGAGCTGCCCCTGCGAGGATGCTAGTAAAGATCTTTGAAAATCTCAACTATTTGGAGGACCCATTTGGCATTTTTAAACAAAAATAAAGCCAGGATCTACCTTTGTGTTATGTAAAAAGGATGTGATAAACAGATAACTGATGTTAACAAATTCAAAATAAATGAATTTTTTAGGTCTATCTCTGAAGCACCACTGGAACTGATCACTAATGACTAATTATTCCACTTAACTCTTAAAGCTGATTTCCCAAAGACTTCTATTTAGCAAATACTTTAAGAGACTGTGTAGGGAAAAGGAATAAAAGAGCATTTACTTCTTTTTCATTAGTTAGATTGGCTGCCATTCCAAGTCAATAAAAGCGAGGTTTTACTGGGATGTAATATACCACTAGCATGTTTTCAAAGCACTTTCTAAACTGGTTTCTCACTCTTTTTACCCTAGCAGCAGGGAACACATTAGCACTCCCATTTTGCGGTGAGGTCACCAAGACCAGGAGAGGTGAAGGCACATGTCCCTGGTCACCCAGATGTCTTGCCTCAAAGTCCAAGGCTCTCCTCTACGCATTCTCCTGAATGTGCCACTCCTGGGTATGACCTTCCTCCCCACCTCCCATCTCTGGCCTTGCAGACAGCACCAACGGAACTACGCCTCAGCAGCACAGGTCTAGAGCTTGCAATCCCCCAGCCACTGTGGTTCTTATGTAAGGCAGTCCTTACTGTAAAACATCCCTACAAAGCCCTCAGCCACCAGGCCTGAGCTGCGACGGTCCCTTTGACCACTCTCCCAGCCAAGGCCACTCTCATCTCCAGCTCCCTGCCTCACCAGGCTGACAAGACATGCAACTATTGCAAAAAAAATTAAAGCAGCTAATATACGAGGGGGAAGCCCCCCCCCCCCAAAAAAACCCTGAAATTACCTTCTGGAGGGCAGGCCCCTTGTAGTACAGACTTTCCCCACTACATCTCTATCAGTGTACCAGCTGGCGTTGTGAGATGCTCTGTTCGGCTTCAGTAAATTATTTTGAAGCCTCTTTCAACGTTTTGCCCATTTCATGATGGGTGATTTACGAGTGCATCTGTCCACACGACACTGAGTGTTCAGCAGTTTTTGACCAAAAACAGCATGACCCATGCCCACCCTCCCTATTCATCCCATCTCACCCCAAGCAACTTTTGTTTGTTTCCCCAGATGAAAAAAGTCCTCAAAAGGAAGCGTCTTGCCAATGTGGAAGAGGTGAAACAAAACAGGGCAGGAGCACCAAAAGGCATCCACATCGATGAGTTCAAAAACTGTTTATAAGCAGTGGAAAAAACAGGTGTATTGTATCAAATGGAGAGTACTTTGAAGATGACTGAAGTTTTAACATTTGGAAATACACAATTTTTTATAAATTCCTGGGTTTTTTGACCCGCCCCCCCTTGTATACTGAGCATGTACTGGTTGCCATGGACTCTGAGTTACCTTCTTCTCACAGCCACCCGACAAAAATAGGCCTCCTTGTCCCCCTTTTACAGATGAGGATGCTAAAGTTCAGAAAAGCTAAGTGACTTGCCCATGGTCAATCAGCTAGTTGTTGAGGCTGTATTCACGATTCAGGTCTGTCAGAATCCATTCCACTTTATTTTCACTCTACCACGTTGCCCTGCTTCCCCATTCTACAAGTACCTACAGGCCCAGGCCAAAGCATAAAAGTGAGCTTTTCCATGGACATCTGGCCCCCAAGTGAGTCTGGGGAGCCTAAGTCCACGGTGCTTCACCTCATTGGCAGCTCCTGGGAAGCCAAGAGTCAAAGGACTCCCTGGCAGGCTTGTCCAGGCAGCTGCTCAGCGGACTTGTGCTAACACAGCAACAGGCACAGGAAAGGCTCCAGAGGGAATGGAAGACCACCAGACGCTGGGCTGCTGAGGGAAGAGAAGGGATTCCTGCTGTGCCCAGGCAGCATGGCCCTACTCTAAGGCAGCCACCATCACTGGGCCGGGAAGAGACCCAAGGCAGGGCAAGCGGGAAGCCCCAAGCAGGTCTACTTACTAGTGTTTCAGTAAATGTGACTGCTGGGCCAGTCCAAGACGGTCACATGCCTCCAAAGTGAATCAGCAGGCATGGAAGAAAACCAGCTCATGCCCTGGTTCATCCCAGCAGCCCTGGCCTGCCTTTGCTCACACCCACTTCCACCCTGCCACTTCATGTCGCCTAGCATACAAGAAAGCATGCATGCTCTTACTGCAGCAGATCTCAGCCAGCCGTGGGAAAGAAAGCTCACCGAGAATATTAATAGACTTGCTGGAAGCAGAGATTCAGTGAGGGCAAGACCTAGGAAACGAAGTTATTTAAAAGAGGGCATAACTAACATGAGCCTGGAAGAGGGAGCAACTTGGGTTTCCAAAGAAAGGGCTTCCTCAGTCAGGCCCTGGGAGGAGATACACCGGCAGTGACAGGAATCTTCTAAAATATCTGAAAATCCACAATGTCTTAGTCTATCTATGGAAAAAACTTTTTGGTGTTTGTGTAGCTTTTTCTGTCCGCTAATGTTTTGCTTAGGCTGACCCTACGTTTGTGCAATATGCTCAAAACTGTTCCAAGGGTAACCACTCCTAGGATCTAATATTTGCCACAAATCGTTAGGTTGCCAAATAATTAATCACTCAATTAAGAGGAGAGGGACAGATGAGAAGTCACAAATTGGCGGCCAATAGGTCCAATTAACCCCATGGGTATGCTAGCATGCTTAGAACATTTTTAAAAAATGAATTGTTGCCCTGGCTGGGTGGCTCAGTTGGTTCAAGAATTGTTCCATGCAGCAAAAGGTTACAGGTTCAATCCCCAGTCAGGGCGCATACGGGAGGCAACCAATAGATGTTTCTCTCACACTGGTACTTCTTTCTCTCTCTCTTCTATTCCTCTCTCTCTAAAAATCAATGAAAATAATAAAAACATATCCTTGGGTAAGGATTAAAAAAATTAAATGAATCAACATTTAAAAATCAGAAGACCACATATACACACAAACACATGCGCAAAAATCCTAAAAAAATCTGGTATCAGCAGCAGAAATTGGAAGATGCTGAGTAGTGACTGCCCCCTTTAGGCAGACCTGCGCTTTCCAGTTCCTGGCCTGGCGCAATCATTTGAGCCACCTGACTGACCCCTGTAAGCACCCCCATTTGCTGTTCCTAGTTAAGCCCAGGGAAGCGATGCCAGGCTTGGTCATGCTCAGGCCTGCCACAAGGGGGAGAACTGGTCTGCCAGTGCCTGCCCATCAGGCAGAGCCTGTAACCAAGCTCAGCCTGGCATATCCTTTCAAAACGAAAAGCTCCATCCTTGCTTCAGTAGCAGACACTCCTTCCCCATTCTCCCCATCCGATCTGTTCCCAGAAAAGCAACAGCAGCTCATGTCAACATTCCCTCTAGGCCTTGGCAACCTGACTGGCTCCTCCTCCTCTCTAGCCACCACCTCCCACATCTTCCCAGCTCCTCTCATTCCACAGCTAGTGCCCCAACCTGTTCAGGAATTCTACCTGCATCACCTGTTAGCACCATCAGGCCTCAGATCCTGAGATACGAAGCAGGTACACACCCTTTCCCTTTTTAAAGGCACTTAGTTCTTCATCAAATGCACATTACCCGTCTTTGAAAGCTCACTTAGGTTAACTGTCAGTTGACTTCATGAGGCAATAGGTTCTTCTGCCTCCTCCTGCCCTCTGCTCTCACTCCCCTTCCAATCTCACCGGCAGCACCTTAAGTGGTAGCTTCTAGTATAAACTTCTACAGCCCTTTAGGAAAGACATTTGGTATAATGTGTTGAGATGCTTAAATTTGTTCTTACCATTCCACCCAAAATGCCATTTACTATTCCCACCATTTAGTCCAAAACGCAGGAAAAGCCTTATACCCATGTAAGATACTCATTGCACTATTTATGCCAATGAACAGTCAGAAACAATCCAAATGCCCACTAGCAATAGGGGAATTGTTAAAAAAACGTAACAAAATGGTAGCCTTTTAATTGTGTTAAGGGTTCTGGGAGTTGTACTAGAGCCCTTTTCTTAAAAATCCCTCTCCAATGCTCTTTAAAGGACATACGTTACTTTTGTAGGGAAAAGGGTGTGTTTGTGAAATTGGAAAATTTTATAACTGTTAAGGTTCCTGGTCTGCTCTTAGATTTTTGAAAGGTCCAATAAGCCTCTTAACATCACAATAGAAAAGCTCCTGGGAACCTGCGCCTCCAGAACGCAGGCCTCCAGGACCCAGTGCGACCACACCAATAAAAAGAAGCTCCAGGACCCTGGAGTCCCCGGTTAAGGGCCAATGTTATCCCACCCTGAAATGCCTGCACTTGCATAACTCCTAAGGAGACCCCAACCACCACCTGGAAGATCGGATTAGATTACTATGGTTCTCAGATGCCACTTTAATCATCTTTTGCACTACACAGTGACGGGAGGTGGAAGATGGTGATTTTCAAGCAAATTCACCCGCCCCGAGGTGAAGCGCCTGGGCTGCCAAGAACAGAAAAGTGCTCTCCTTCCCAAGGGAATCCCCCACTTCCTGAGCTGGGAGGGCAGGATTTCAGAAAGCGAGCACAAAGGGCAGGGCAAATGAGTGAAGGGAACCAGGTGGATATCTGAATTCTTCCCATTCAAACGGGAACCAGAGGTGTGGGAGCTCTCCTAAGGCAGCACCCCAATCCCATGCACTGCTGCCTGAGGCCAGCTGCCTCCCCACAGAGACAGACAGCCAACGTCCACTTCATAACACGACTTCCAGCAGTGCGCCCAGCAGCCCAGTGGTCGTGGCCACCACGCAACAGATGCAGCCTGCAGGCCGGAACCCTCCAGGGCCTTCCTCTTCACTTGGCCTTTCAGCGCTAGTGTGTCTTCCTGACCAAAGAGCAGGCGGTTTGTGCGTGGCCGGGTTGTGCCGAAGGGGCCAGAATAAGCAACAAAGCAAATCAGATGTGGGTTCTGGAGCTGGGTCAACATGGTGGCCAGCACCAGTCACAGCCCACAGAAGGGCCTATATGGCCCCGTGTCCTCTATTAATTCTTCTCCGGGCGGTTTCTGTTTAGGACAGCTTTAGGGGCAAATTCCAGCTTGTCCTTAAGGCTCACCACCTGCGTGTGGTCCTTGCCTAGCAGCTCATCCAATTTGCGGTCCTCCCGACGCTCTGAGATGCTCTTCTCCTCCTCCACAGGCTGGGATTCCTTTCCCCTGATGAACCATTCCAGGTGGTAGCCCACAGCCCCAACCACGAAGGCCACAGGAAATGTGACATAGGGAGCATAAGTACGCACCACGGTCCAAAGCACAGGCCACATGACATCTGCAGAAGAGCACGAGCAGCATTAGGGAGACACCAGCACCCCCTCCCCACCAAATGGACCACCTACCAGGGCTCCCTACTTACCAGGCAGCTTGGCACAATTTACTGAGCATGCACCCCAAACAGAGTAATGCAAGAGGGTACCCTGATTTATGCAAGAGTTAGGTTCCTAACACAATCTAGAAAATTTCAAAAAATTCAAGTGTTAGAAAAGGGGAGAAGACTCTCCATTTTACTCATAGGTACTACACTTTTTGACAATTATGCAACCATGTATGGCAAAGTTTCCCTTGAGGGGACCTCTGGGCCTTACCTAATAAAGCTTCCAGCCTGTTCTTGACACCAGGCCTTCCCTCCAGTTTGCCAACCATTCAAGAATGGGAATGAAGTCTTTTTCTCACGTCCACCTCCTGAGGTGGATGCCATTATCAGAGAATTAAGTAACTTGCCCAAGTCTCAACTATAAGATCATTCCATTTGTGCACCTATAGATACTCCTTCAACTTGGCTACTTCTGGTCTAAAGTGAACAATCAAAACCTCACCAAGGTTAAGATGACTCTCTCCCTTTCTCTCTTTAGGTCCAGTTCTCTTTGGAGAAATCCCAGCATTCTGTGGACGTAAGACTATAATGGGCGATCATCAGGGAAAAGAACTGCAGCAGCTCCAAGATTCCCCTCCAGGTCCTGTCTTAGCGCCAAGCTGGACAATTCACCCACCAGTCCCCACCGGATCCTCACAACACCTCTATGAGGTATGAGCCCAGATTTCTAAGGCCACAAAAGCTCTGGGACATTATAGCAATATGCCCCAAATCACTAGAAATGACATGGCCACTGATTTTGAACCCAGGCCCTCCAAATTCAAATCCTGTGCTCTTTCTCGTGGAAAGAACACACTGCCAAAAGGTGTGTGGTTTTGGTGCAAATCCTGAATTTGGGGTGAGCATCTATGGTTTTTTTCCCATTAGCTTGGCATTTCACTGCCTAGAAGAGCTCCCTTTTCTGCAAACTCTAAGGTTATACTCAGAAATTTGAGCAATTATGAAATTTAGAAGTTGTTAAATGAAGCACCACTGAAGAATCTCAAACCTGACACTTCTCCATCCTCTTTCCCACCTTTTGAGCAAGTTTTCTCTTTTTAAGTAAATACTTTCCTTAAACAGCTACTTGCCATTCAGAGTTCCAATTTTCCTTAAAACATAACAAGTCTGAGTCCACAATTACCTGTCACATGTAGAGCAAGGTCTCTCTGTCCTCCTAGTCACACCCTAATCATTTTCAAATAAGCCAATTAATTCATTTATTTAACACTTATAACCACTCCCTGCGTAATGCATGGTGCTGGCCTACCCTACTTGTCTTCATTCCTCAAAACACTTTAAGCTCCAAGAGGGCAAGGACGATGTTTGTAGCCCCCTGGGCCCCATCCGTTCCCCCATCGCTCCCACCTGGCCTGGCATAAAATGCTCCAAAAAATGTGCTGAATGAACGAGAGCTCACTAATGTAAAACCACAGCAGTCATCCTCCCACCCGCCTTCAAAAGGTAGCAGGAGCACAGCAGGTGCCTTTGCTGATTACAAGAAGCTAGATGCTCTAACAAGTCATCTCCAGGGTTGTGACATTAAAAAGGGAACGTGTCTAGCAAGTGCTGTGACGCCTATTTCCAGCCATGCTAGAAGGGAGCCAGCCTGAGCGTCCGGTAAAGGTCAACTGGGTTGCCGGCAAACCTGCCCTTGGGCCGGGGCTCCGGCCGCCCAGCGAGACTCAAATCCACAGCCTGAGATTTGAGAATTGCTAACAAAGGCAGAGGAGACCTAAGAGGGTGGAAGATGATTAACCCTGACTGTTACTCGAGCCCGGTCCAAGGATGGGGGCGAAGTGAGGTTAGGGACCAAGTATCTACTTGACTCCCTCCGTGGGCTCCCTGTCCCCTACCCTATCACACCGCACTCAACGCCTTGTCGGCAGCGTCCTTCCTCTCACTCGTCCCTGAGGCCGAGAAGCCCAGGCCGCAGAGGGCCGGCTGGGCGGCCAGACTCGACCCTCGAGGCCCGGGTAGAGTGGGAGCCGTCAGTCCTGGCCAGCGCCGGAGCGGACAGTCGGAATCACCCCTCCTGTAACTCAGAGGTCAAAGCCAGGAGCCGTCGCCAAAATAACCAGCGGCCACGGCAGCGGGCCTGGGAAAGGGAACTGCTGGTTGGGACCGCGTGCTCACCTGAGCCGCCGCCACACTCCTCCGGCCGGCCCCCGCCCTCCGCCTGCTCGCCGGGAACGCCGTTATCGCCCCTCCCAGCGGCCCGTGGGGCCTCACCCGGGACCCCGCCCACCGAACGCCGGCTCTGTCGGAGCTCAGGGATTGGCTGAGCTCCAGTCCAAAGACCAGAGCAAGCGAGGCATCCGCAACAGCATCCCGTGGCGCTGATTTGAACACACGCCCCCTGGGGGCTAGGAGGTTTACCAGTGACGTAATCACGTGCTTTTCGGACGGAGAAAGTAAAAGGTCATCCATTCATTTATTCAACTAATGTTTACTAGGCGTCTCCTAAGACCCAGGTGTAAGGCATGACCCCTGACCTCAGGAAGCTCTCTTTAGCAGAATAAAGTCTAGCACTTAAGAACTCTTCAGATCTGGGCCAGCTTTCTGTGACCCTGGGAACCGTGTTAATCTGTCTTAGCCTGCTTTTCCTCTTATATGTAAAGGTAATGACACATATTTCACAGAATGTTGTGAGGGTTAGATAAGATTATGTATGTAAAGTGCTGTACCTGGTACATAGCAAGCAGAGAAATAAATGGTACTATTGTTAGTCTACAAATAATATAAATTGTACAGTAAAACCTAAGCTTTACCTGCCTGACCCTTCAGGTACAAGTATTCACTCCCTGCTCTGTGTCCCCGCGGCTGCCTGTACAGAGTCTCTTTTATTGCGTATAGGAAAAAAAACAAAACAAAACAAAACAAAACACACCAAAGCTCAGGCTCCATAATGCTCTTGCCTAGCCCAGACTTTCCATTCTCATTCCAATGATCTCAGCCAGGAATATTTATTTATCATTAGTAACACACACTAAATCTTCCTATTCCTCTTTGCAGACCAAATTGTTTCACACCGCTGTGCTTTTATTTATGCTTTTTCATCTACCTGGAGTGCCCTTCCCATCCTCTTTACCAAGTATCTCTGGCTCATTTTTGAAGCTTTAGGAATACTGCTGTAGAAGTCTCCTGACTGCCTTATTATCCTTCCTCTGTCATCTCAAGGAGCTCAATGCTAAGCTCTGGCAGTGGAAATGGAGAGACAGGAACAGTTTAAAGAAATATTCAGGAAACTGTCATTAGCAGAACTTGATCACTAATTGAGTAGGTAGAGAGGAGAAGGAAACGGAATTACCTAGAATAACCAGCATTCAGTTAACCAGTAAGCATGTATTAGGCACCACAGGAACGCAAAAAAAATGACTGGACCATCCCTGCCGTCGGTTCTCTCACTGATGGGCAAGCAGGCAGGTCTTCAAAATGTGAATAGGGTGTGAGAAATGTGGCCATGGAAGTATGCACAAGTAGCACAGAGAAAGAATAAAGAATTAGGGAAGGCTCCACAGAGCAACCCGCCCTCGAGCTGAGTCCCAAGTGACGGCTAGCAGTCCCATCAGGCAGAACTGAGTGAGACTCAAGACTTAAGAATCAGATAGATATGCGTTCAAATCCTGACTCTGCTGTCTGCGAATCCCAGGAAAGCTATTTATGTTTCTAAAAAGACAATAATAGCCCTGGCTTGTGTGGCTCAGTGGACTGAGTGCTGGCCTAGGAACCAAAGGGTTTCTGGCTCCCAGTCAGGGCACATGCCTGGATTGCAGGCCAGGTCCCCAGGAGGAGGTGCACAAGAGGCAACCGCACATTGGTGTTTCTCTCTCTCTCTTTCTCCCTCCTTTCCCCTCTCTCTAAAAATAAATCTTTAAAAATAAAAAGACAATAATAGTACCTACCCCCTGGGCTGGTTCTGAGTATTAAATCACCTAATGTATATAACATGCTTGGCACAATACTCAGCATCTCCTATGTGCTCAGTAAATAGTCACTGGTATGTTCAATATACTCCAAATTTATTTCTACTTCTGTAATATCCTATGTCCATTTATGGTATTACTTAGTCACTAACCCAATAACCTAAGTGACATTTTCAAGGTCTCTTCATCTTTGCATTGTTCCCAAGATCCAGCTTATGCATAGCACCTATGCCTCCTGAATGTCTATCAATTTAATCATCATCTCTTACCTGAACCACAGTAGCAACTCCCTCAGTGGTCTCCCTGCCTTCCATTTCCCCTTTCAGTGCATTTCCATTCTGTTGGCCAAAGGGTCTTTCAAAACTTAAAATTTAAATGAAATCTCCAGTTTAACCATCCCGCCAACCATGGGTCCCTTTCAGTCACATCTCCTCTCCTGTTCCCTTCAGTCTCTGCTCTCCCCATCATTCCCCACACATACCCTTCCATGCCTTTGCCCAAGCTGGTCCTTTTGCCTTCAATAAATGCCCTCCCTTTTCTTTCTTGACTGCAAAACTCTAATTCATCCTGCAAGACGGAGCTCAAAAGGCCCCTCTTACAGAAAGTTTTCCCACACTTCCTGGATGCTCCCTGGTCTCTTCAGTCCCTCTGAGAGAGCAGGCCTCCCTTCACCCTGTACCTTTGTTTATTTGCGTGGCTATGGCCAGATTAGGAGGAACTCAAGCATAGGGAGTGGATTAATCCTTCACTTATCCAGCACAACTACCCGGGACATGGTACCCAAAGGAAACTACCCCCCACTGGCCCCATGTGGGGAGATTTTAGGAATCCTGTCTGTAGAAGGCTGCCCCTGACACAGTTGCAGATGCTAACCTGTCTCCTCCTGTCCACTCCCATATATGTACTTCATGGTCCCAAGAAAGCGGGCCCAGTTTCTGGGAAGACACCAACCCATTGAAAACTATATAATGTAGATGGTTAAACTCAGAATCAACCACTTCCCAGCTTTGTGATTTGGAGTAAGTTGTTTAGCCTCTCCAAGCCTCAGTTTTCTCATCTGTAAAATGGTAGTGATGACAGTATCTGCTTCATACAGTTGTTCTAAAGATTGTCTAGTTCAAAACTCACCCATGACCCAAATTAGAGAAACCACCTCAGGTAAAGTGACCCACCCCAAGCCTCTCTTGGCAAGTCTACAGGAAATAGATAGATGAACCCTTCTAGTGGAAACTTTTGGACAGTCATATGGTGTAAGTGCTCCCAGACCTACATGCCCATCGCAGTCACTTGGAGTTAAAAACTCACTTGAGGGCAGAGAGTCTACTCACTAAGTCTTGGACAGTGTCCAGCAATCTGAGATCAGCCTGAAGCCGATTCACTTTTGGGAATTTGGACCTCTCTACTGTCCAGTGGTCATATAAGTGTCTGACCTCTTGCTTTTCAGGCTGTCTCCTAACCCAGTTTGTAAAATATCTGTTCATGATGCCCTCCTGTTCAAAACCCTTCTGTGGGTTGGTCTAGCCACTGTGGTTCCTGGGCTTTCAGGACCCAGGCCTATCCTCCTCAAATTGTGCATTATGATCAAGCCTCTGCATTCCCAATGCTGCTTTCTTCTCCAGACCCTTGCACAGCTGCTGTCTGATCTTGGAACATTCTTCCTAGCCTCAGCCCCCATTCAGTGGCTAATACCTTATCATCTTTCCAGGACTCAGCCTTATATTTTATCTGCTTGTTCACTGTTTTTTCCCATAAGACTGCAAGCTCTGTAAGGGTAGAAACTACCTTTGTTCAGGGCCATCTCCCTGGTGTTGGATGCCAATGGTGATTCTTGATGTTTGCTGAATAAATGAATGAGAATTGGCTAGTCCCATGTGGCTCAGAAGAGCAGCCAGTCCCCTGGAAAGCTTTTCCTCCTGCCTCAGGGTGACACATCAACCCCAGGAACTATTTAAAGAATGGTGGCTTGCTGGGTAGACATGCCATCAAACCCTGCCTGGGCTCACAAGGCCATAGAGCTAAAAGTTCATGGTCAGTCAGGCCTGGGGCCACCACCCTTAACCCTGTGATTTTGGACAGGTCACTTAACCTCTCCTGAGATTCCGCTTTCTCATCTCTCATAGAGATGAATCACATTCGTGTGATGCACTCACCCTTTGCCTGACCCACGGTAAGTATCCAATAAATATTAGCCATCACCACGAGGTTTGGATTGCTATTTAGTGTCCCAGGAAAGTTCTGTTCTTCGCTCCCACCAAGGTGCCCAACCACAGGAAGCATCAGAAAATATGGTAGCACTAAACTGAACAGTTTTCCTGGCCTTCAGGGGAAGGGAAACCAGTATTTGTCCATATAGAAGAATAACCACACTCCCTGTTTATTGAGCACATGCTGTGTGCAAGGCCTTGGGCTGGCTCTGGGCTCCCGTCTCTGGGAGAACCCTGGAGGACTGGGAGGCAGAAAGGGAAAGGAGCGGAGAGGTGGAACCCCTTCAGGAGGGCTCAGGTCTTTCTGTGGCCACCCAGAGGGCTGAATCTTTCCCCAGCTGGCTCAGGCGATCCCGACTCTCCCCAAACCAAGAGCTTGGGCTCCCTGCCTCTCCTCCCTCCACCCCCAGCCCCCCATGCAGTGCAGAGGTGGCTTCTTCAGGAGAGAGCAGCTGGCGTGAGTGCAGTTCTGCCGTTTTATTTTTCCTGGGATACTCAAGGGGATGTGGGAACAGCCACAGGTGTGGTGAGGGGAAGCCCCCATCTCTCCTTCCCAGTGGCTGGGAAAGGAGAGAGGCCCAGGCGCCCTGGTCCTGGGTTGGTCCAGCCACTGTGGTCCCTGGGCCCGGTGGGCTGAGGGCTGAGGGTGGAGCCTCTGGAAGGGTGGGGCGGGCTCCTAGGCAGGGTTCGGGATTCTTCATAAAAAGCCACGAAGCTGATCCCCACGAAGCCCAGCCCCGCGGGGTGGTGGGGGGGACGCAGAGCCCAGATGGGGGACCCGGCCCGGCCTGGCCCGTGGGGGGTGTAATGGCAGAGATGGTGCCCATGGGTAGGTGGTGAGGACGAAGCGTCGGACCAGGAAAGAGGGGGGTCCAGTTGGGGGCGCAGGGCGGAGAGGCACGGCCCCCAGCCCAGCCCGGGCGCCTTCGCGTGGGGTCAAGAAGGTAAAAAACCCACGAGAGTGTGACGGGCAGGAGGGGCCGGGGCGTGCGGTGCCGGCGGGGCGGGCGCACGGGGCGGCCCGCGTTCACAGTGACCTCGACGCTGGGTGTACAGTACGGGTAGAAAACCGCGGGCCCGGGCCTGGGCTGGGCGGGCCGGGCGGGTCACAGCCTGGTCTGGGCCTCGGGGATGTAGATCTCGATGCTGTCGGCGCTCTCGGTTGCCGAGCTGTGGCGGAAGGAGGCGGCGCGCTTGGCCGCCAGGAGCCGCTTGCGCGCTTCCTGCCGCTGCCGGTCCACCGAGTCCAGGGAGCGCTCCTTCACCGGCACGCCCCGGCCCCGCGAGGGCTTCTTTGGTATCGGCGGAGGGACCTTCTCCTCCTGCCAGGAGACGGGCGGTGGCTCAGTTTGGGGGCGGGGTCCCACCTGACTTCGCTATTCACACCCCCGGCGCCCAGAAGGATTAACCTGCTTCGGCTCCACCTCGGGAAAGCAGTTAGCTGCTTTTTGCACCAGCACCGTTAGCCCCAGGTGCACCTGCTCCCACAAGGTCAAAACCCTTATTTTTCTTTAAAAAACTGATAGATTCGAACGCCCCTTGGTGGCGCCGTTCTTGACAACTCGAATCAGAGGGCTCGCTCCCTCGGGGAAGTGAATGTTTTCACTCCAGGTCAAGAGACCAGGCAAAGCAATGGGGGTCACACACCAGGCTTCTGGGCCCCATCACAGACAAGGTCTAGTGACAAGACGGCCTGGGGGACCCTCGCGGTCCAAGCTGAGGGCAGCTCGCCCTTCAGAAAGCTCTAGCTCTGCTCCCTCAAACTGCAGCTAGCCCAAGGTCAAGCAGGCTGCTGCCACCACGAGGTTCTGGCAGCTTAGGCAGTGATAAGCTCTGGGGCCAAGCAGACAGCAGCGACCAAGAGTGTGGTCATTTTGGAAGAAGATGGTCACCATCACCTATCCAGGGCTGCCTTTGCAGCCCATGGGTCTCTCCTCCTGTCTCCACCACCCGCCCCCCACCCCCAACATGCCTCCACAGGGAAGGGCGTTTTCCAGGGTCTGGACTCTTGGCTTGAAGGGCCCTCCCCCCACCTTAGGCTCCAGGAGTTTCCAGCTGTTGGCCTTGAGTTGCTGTAGCTCCAGGAACTTGAGGGTCACATCCTCGATAGAGAGCTGCAGGAGGTCCCAGAAACCCGCCAGGTCCTGGAAGGTGGGCACAGGGAACGCAGTGGGGTCCTGCAGAGAAAGGAAACAGATGAGAGCCAGCCAGTCAGGGAAGTCTGAGCTCCAGCCAGGACCAGAGAAAGCCTTACCCACCCTCACTATGAGGAAGCTCAAGCTGAGAGCGGGGTGGGTACTAGGAGACCAGGAATCAAGAAAACCCAGGCCTCTTCCTCTTGGGTACAAACTCCTGGTCCCACCTCTAGGCACACACACACTGGGTCACAGCAGGCACCACATCTGATAGGCTCCACACCCAAGGGCACTCACCATGCTTTGCTGACACAGCCGGAAGAACTGCTGAACCTTCTGGGACAGGAGAAGTTGTGTGCTGCCCACGGCACTGCGGATCTTCTCTAGGACTGGGGAGCAGAGGGAGGTTCAAGGGCGGCGGGCGGGGGGATGGAGGGGGGTGCGGGGAGGATGCATTTCCTTGCCTAGCCTCCAGGAAGTCTGCCCTGATGGATTCTCACCATTCCATTATCTGACACTTTCTGTGTCTCCTCCTGCCCCCTCCCCGTCTCATCCTCAGCTTCCTAACAAGCAGCTCCTATTCCACTTCACCAAGGAGAAGTATCCTCAGACACTGATGTTTCTTCCTTCATACAACCTACATTTCTTGAGTGTTTATACTCTCATGTCAGAGAACAGGGGACACCAGCCCAGCCTAGTCCTACAGCCCTATGGCTAAGCAGGCACTAGCTCCATGGCCACCTACTGGCTGAACTGGGTCACTCACCAGTGCACAGCTCCCTAACTTGTTACGAATTACTAAATAACTTCATGCCTATGACTCCTGTCCTCCAAGTCACTATCCCATATGTTGGGGACTCTGGGGTAGACTGTATCTCCCTGCAGGTTGAACTTCAGGGAAGGGGCACATCTTCCTGGTTTGATCTTCACGTATGCAAATACGGTCTGACACTGTACACTGCCCACCCCTCTGCCTTAAGTCCTGGTCCCGCCACCTGGATCTGACCCAGATCCTCACACCAGCGCAGATCAGAAGCGTTTCCTTGGCCCCCACAGACTCAGTGACTTGCACTAGGAGCCGTCTCCTTGAAGGCCTGCTCCCTCAAACTGCCGCTAGTCCAAGGTCAGCTGGCCCCTGCCACCTCCAGGCTCTGGCAGTTTAGCCCAGTCACTTTCCCCAGTCCAAGCCCTAGCCTCTCCCTGTTTCCTTTGAAGAACTCCCAGAATGCCCTGCTGCCAATGTGGACCATCAGGGTCTGGTGCCCGAGAACCCACCTATAGGACAGCAACCTCATGCCCAACCAAACAGCTCTCCTCTTGTGCTGCTGGCCTCCCCAGCCATGATTGCCCCCCCCCCCCCGCATACACTACGGTGTAGAGTCCTCGCACTCACTCTCCTCGGGCAGCTCGTAGTCCTCCGCCTCCCTCTCCATCTGTTGGCACCAATGCTCCAGCTTCTCCACCTCTGCCCTCAGCATCTTGATGAACCACTCGCCGTCCCGCGGGCAGGGGGACGTGCGGCCTGAGTCGGGGAGGCTACGTGAGCCACGCTCCATCCAGGAGTCACGGCGGCCAGCCCCGGGGCCAGGGGTGGGGGCAGGGGCAGGGCCTGGCGACCCATCGGTGGCCGGCGGCTCGTACGGCAGTGGGTAGCCCTCGCGGTAGGCCCACTGGCCCTGCGTGTGGACCGTGCGGAAGACTGAGTAGGTGGGGGCCCGGGGCCCGGGCTGGGGTTCAGAGGCGTGCCTCTGGAAGGAGCGTCCGAACTGTAGGGCCTTGTCTTCTGTGGCCACCGTGGCCAGGCCGGCCAGGCCCTCCAGCTCCAGGTCTGCCTGCACGCCAGCCGTCACGCTGTTGGAGCGCTTGAACCTCGCCCGCCTGGTGAAGAGAGGTGGCCGTCATCTCTGCCCTTGCAGAATATCATCCCAGCCTTCACCCCCAACCCAGGCTAAAAGGAAAAGGGATGAGAAAAGACTCCTACAAAATGATCCACGACCTTTAACTATATTATTCCTTGCAACAGGTGGATACATAGTATACTTACCTGTTGTACCGCCTCTGGACAGGGTGACATTTAAAATATTTAACCTGCACAGAACAAGCTGCTGGCATATGCCAAGTAGAACGGACACAGTTCAAGTGCTAGAGCAATGCCCTTAGAAACTGGATTGGGGGCAAGGGGGGAGTACTAGAGGGGCTAGGGAGGGGCCAGGGCAGTGGCTCTTTACCAATGAATACAGAAGTATTTCAGCATTTTAACAAATGCTATGTGTTTCCTCATTTACACCAGCTGTACAGGTATGTCCTTGGCCTGCAGAGAGATGAATAAATTAAGGCCCAGAGAGGCCCAGGGGCTCCCAGGTACAAAGTATTAATAGCAGAGCCAGGATCTGGATGCAGGGCTGCTACTCTGTCCACAGCCCAAGCATTTCCCAAGGCACCAGCTGCTAGAACATCAGGGAGAGCTGCCTTGGAACAGCTGAGGGGAAGGGAGGTGGCAGCAGCTGGGAGGACTTCTCTAGGGACCCCCAGGGCTCAGCCCAGAGCCTGGCCAGACACTGTCAGCTGGTGCCAGTGGAGTTGAATTAAGTTGTTGGCAGAAATGCCATAAGGCCTGGAAATTTCTTGTCTTTGAGTTAATAATATGCAAATCGTATGCAAAACCAATCGTCAATTGGCCTTGTCCTTCCTCCTACTCCTGGGTTCTCTGAAGAAGTCATGACCCCGTGAGGGTGCCCGAGGCTGGGAGGGATCAGACAATACTTGATGTGGGAGTCAGGGGGTGCGGGGGTGGGTGGAGAGGTGAAGAGAAGTTTGAGGTCTGGAAATTCAAGGACCACAAAAGAAAGTCTCCTGTGTCCTAAGCAACTTGCACCCCTGTATGGTCAGCAGAAAGGGGCTTGGGGGCCAGCTCTAGGGACCCCTTCCACAACCCAGGGGCTTCCCCAGCCCCCACAACTCCAGGCTTCCTCTTGCTGCCCAGGCCTTCTCTCCCTCCCTCCCTGCCTGCCTGTCTTGCCTGCCTGGTTCCCTCCAGCTGGCGGGCTGCCTGCTGGGAGCCTGTTGCCATAGAAACCAGACCCAGAAGGATGCTGCAGGACCCAGGAAAAAGAGATGCACTCATGTGCAGTCTCCAGCAAGCCCTATGTCCCAACCCCCCACCCAGAGAGAGAGAAAGCAAGAATACATCACAGTGCCTCCCACACGGTCTTCACCTTGGTGTCTGTCCTGTCCTTCCCTGGTCCAGACTTGCATCGCCCTCTGTCTTGACTATTGGATCAACCTCTTTTCAGACATCTCTGCCTCTACTCAGTACAGCACAGAAGAGCACTGGAATAGGAGTCAGACCTGAGCACTGAGGCTGGCCTTGTCACTATGTGCCTTTAGAAAGTCACACCCTCCAGCTAAGCCATCTAATCACGCGTGTGTATAAAATATATTACATATTACATATAAAATAATAGGAATGGACCGGTAATTGCCAAGGTCCCTGCTCTCTCTAAAATTACACCTTGCATATTTTAAGATCTGGGATCCAACAATCCCTCCCCAATCCACCCAGGACCAGAGTAGTCTTCCTCAAGTTGACCTCTGCTCAATTCATTCGCCTGCTCAAACCTCTTCCATAGCATCCCACTGCCAGCCAGATACAGGTCAAGCTTCCTCTGCTGGCATATACCCAATGCATTCTCCTACTTCCCCAAGTAGATTATACTGGCCCTGACTCAAAGCCTTTTCCCATGCTGTTCCCCTGCCTGAAGTGGCCTTCCTCCTCCTCTCTCCCTGTCTATTCTAGGCCCAGGTCCCCTCCTCCTCCATGCACCTCCAGACTGCCCCCAAGACCATCCTGTGTACCGCAGCTCCCTCAGCAGACTGTTTGCATTTGGACACAGTCCCACTGATTAAACTGCTCTGTTTCTGGTGAGAGTCTTGTGTGTATAACTGAACTATGAGGATGCACTTTGGCTCCCTTTGAATATTTTCGCGCTTTGAGCTCCAGTTAGCCTTTGGCTCCTTCAGCACTCCCAGAGCTGCAAACTACATAGATAACGGTGGGAGCATGTCCCAGTAAAAATGGTATTGAAGACCTGCCTTCCCTGTTTGTTTTCCTGTTATCCCCACAAAACATGGATTGTCCTTTGGCACCACTGAGTTTGTCTGCTGCCTTTCACCTGCCCTCCTAGGGGTCCTGAGAGGACCATACTCTGTCTGGATGGAGTAGGCTACACAGTTTGGAACAGAAGTGTAAGTGCCCTGGGCTTCATGGTTCTCAGCCAGTAACTCAAGGAGCTCTCCCATTGGGTTTACTTCAAGGAAGACCAAAGAAGTTTAGTTTACGGGACCACTGAAAGCACAATCTTCACCAACACTCGCAATCACGGGCCAGAGACTTGCCCAAGGCAAGCTGGGGTCAGTCTTCCTTGTGCAAATGGCATTTACAACCAGAAGTGTGGGACAAGATCACCCAGCAAAGAGCAATGGAACAAAGATCCAAAGTCCCAGGAAACATGGACATTTCAGGGGGTGGAGATAGTGCAGCCCCCTGAAATGTGTGCCTAAGCCAGAAAGGATAAGGAAGAAAACCAGGACAAGATACCTAAAGGCAGATAGGGGACATAGGGTCTCAAGAAGGGATGAGCAACCAACATGGAAAATGCAGCCAGTTAAGAAGGAAAGATGCCCATTGATCTGGCAATATAAAAGAAGGCAGGGATTGTCAGGGGGTGGAGAAAACTAGGCAAAACAACTCTTGAAAAGAGCTTAGTTGAGACTGGAGGAAGAGAGAAGACAGTATACCTTCAAGGGAGAGAGATTTTGATGATTTGTCAATTACATCTCAATAAATCTGGGGAAAAGAAGGGAGGGGTATTGTGTTGAGGGTGGTTCTCACACATACCCCACGGCAGGGGGAGCGTCTGGGTGGTAAGCAGAATAATAACTGCCCAACAGGCCCATGTTCCTAATTTCCAGCACCTGTGAATGTTACCTTCCATGGCAAAAGGGGCTTTGCAAATATGACTATTTTAAGGATCTTGAGAAGAGCCTGGATTATCCAGGGGTGTCTAATTTAATCACAAAGGTCTTTATAAGCGAAAGGGGGAAGCAGGAAAGCCAGTCAGAGAAAAAGGTGGGACGATGGGCTCAAGGTTGGAGGGATGCCATGTGAAGACTCAGCCTGCCATTGCCGGCTTTGAAGACAGGAGTGGGCTACGGGCCAAGGAATGTGAACAGTCTATAAACTGGAAAAGGCGACGAAGTGGATTCTTTCCTGTGCCTCCAGAAGGGATCGGTCCTTGATGTTAGCCCAGTGAAACCCAGTTCAGACTGCCAATCTCTAGAAATACAAAATAATAAATCAGTTCTATTGAATGCCACTAAATTGGTAATAATTTATTAGAGCAACAATAGGAAATTAATACGACCTGTAAAGAGAAGTCAATTGAAGAGAGAGAAGAGAGAGCCAGTGGTCCAAGGAAGCAGAAATAAGGGGGATAAATAATAACTAACACCCTCTGAACACTCAGCGTGTGCTAAGCACTGTACATGAATAAACATGCTCAGTCCTCACAAACAGTCCCATGAGAAGGGTGTTAGTACCATGCTTCATTATAGATGAGAAAACACTGAGGCTTCTAGAGGTTACGTGACTTCTAACATCAGGCAGTTATCAATTTCATACAGTCTGGTGGCAAAGGCCAGCCCTTAAACCACCACCGTCCACGAGCCCCCTAGGATTGAGGGTGAGGGGCAGCTTTAATCAGGAACTGATGCCTCAACCCTGAGGCAGGACTCGGGGAGGAGGCACGGGAAGAGATTCAAGTAAGGTAGGAGTTGGTCCACAAGTGAAGAGAGGACCCGCCAGATAACCTCAGCCATTACCGTGAAGTGAAGAGGGAGGCGGGGTATCTGGGAGCGGAGAGGTAAGGGAAGAAATGAGAATGAGCAGCTTTGGAGGGCGGCCTAGCAGAGTGGTTAGCACATGGACTCTGGAGCCAGACTTCCTGGGTCCAACACCAGCACTACAGCTTGTGCCTCAGTCTCCTCATCTATAAAGGAGAATGATAATAGTACCTGCTCAGGATTGTTATGAGATAATAAGTGGCAGAAACTTAGAATAGCACCTGGTCTGCTCATTGTAAATGTTAGCTATTATGGGGAGAGGCAGGAAGGATTGTAGATTTGCTTAAAAGAAAGGAAGCTGAACAAATAAAAGAATGGGAATGTAGCACTGAGAACCCAGCTAGGGCGTTGTAGTTATTAATTATTGTGATTGCTGTTGATCGTTTCCATCTGTTCCCCCACAGCATTCTGAATAAAACCTCTTTTATACTCCATATCACATTGTCTTGTGATTAGTTATTTGCATATTATCTATCTCTCTTACTAAATAGGGCAGTTGCTCATCTTTAAATGTTAGTTGAATGGCTGGCTGGAAGAAAGGATGATAGAGACCACCAACCATGCCCAACATCCATTCTTCCTTAGTAACGGAATCCCGCAATTTTGAGCTGGACACACGTCCACTTTTAATAAAGATTCATTTACCAATCTCCCTTGCAGCTAGATGTAGCCTTGTGGCTAAGTTAGCTCAGAGGATATAAGCAGGAGTAGTACGTGCAACTTCCAGGAAATGTTCTTAAAAGGAGAAATGCCCTTCTTTGTTCCTTCCTCCTCCCTGCTGACCAGAATGCAGACATGATGGCTGGACCTCAAGCAACCACCCTGGAACATGAGATAGAAACCAAGTGCTAAGGATGGAGGAGCAATAAGATAGCAGGGGCCTGGGTCCTGACACTGTAGAGCACCTACCAGCCTTCAGCTGGCTCTCTCTGGACTTCCAAGCAAGAGGGAAATAAACTTCTATCATTTTTAAGTCA